TTCAGACGTGTGCTCTTCCGATCTCCCCAAAACCCCAAAACCCCAAAACCCCTAGGAGGTAAATAGAGTGAAATTTGGAGAAAGTAGAGTTGGATATAATTAGGTTTAGAAAAATATCTACTAATTCAGCAATAAAGTGTTGAGAAAGAATGCCTCATATACGACTCTCTCTTTCAAGTATTCTCTCATTCCTCATCCTATTGAGTATTCATTGGAGTCTAGCCAGGCAGGTTGATCATATTTCTCTACAGCATATTTCTAAGTATTTCTTGCTGCTCATCGTCAGTGCCACAGATCAATGTGTTGTTTCTGATTTTGTTGATATCATCCTCAATATTGAAATTGCCCATTTGCAAAACTACATTTTTCAAGTCGTTGAACTGCTTGCCTTCATTCAGCAGGTCAACCTACTCGTCCTCATCGTCTTAAAACTTAAACTCTTCTACAGGTCCTCCGAGCATGCCTGCCATCTCGGTCATATATCTATTCTGGAAGTTAATTTTATTTTCAATTTCTGCCCATGGCCCCTTATCACTATATACACATGTTGCTTCACATTCGCATTAACCACCATAAATTTTAGGTAGTTTTTCTTGTAAAACTCTATCTTGCAATCCAGTGTGACTTGACTCTCCAGTAACGAATATCTTTGCTTGAGTTTTCTCAGAAATGTGTGGTCTGATCTCGAAATCATAAAAGTCCTAGAAGAACATTGGCGAGTTGACAATGAAACAGCTGTCCAGCATCTCTGGATAGAAGTGCTGTAATTCAATCAGCAATGATCTGAATACGACATTTATCTATTTTCAAAAGTTATTTCATGCAGGATTTAGACTTACTTATTTATTTGTGAGATCCTTATGCTTGAGACCCCTTAGATCAACTATGATTAATATCTGATCGACACCTTCTTTATTGACGTTTTATTAACAGTCCTCAAACTTCCATCTCCAGGCCATTTCTATCTCCTTCAAGATGTATTTAATCATGACATCTGCTGAGGCACTCTCTAATAGCTCCTTCACCTTAATAGCTCCAAACTACAGAATGAAGATTGGTCTTCCCTAATGTGAACATTAAACATTGCATAGTGATTGAGTGCTTACTTTCTTGTCGCATTCGTGAAAACCGTTTGGGAAGTACTCTTTAATCCTATCGTATTAAGTGAATTCGAGATCCTATACAGTTATTGTTAATTCTATTTCTCCTGATAATTTGTTATCTTACAAGTAAACTGTCAATTTTAGACTGAACTCTCCACTGGAGATACTCCTGGAAGTGAGTGATTGACTTGGATACATCGAAGCCGTTGCCTGCGATGAATCTAGCAAAGTGAGCTCTGTTGAAAATGAGCTTGTGAATCTCGTTGAGAATTTTCCTCTGATGAATCTGCTCTACGAACTAGTCCAGGACCTTGATTTCGTCAGCGCTGAATCGCGAAATTATACTACAGAAAAAGATAGTTAGACAAACCACGTCCTCCGACTCAGATTTAACAAAAATCCAAGTCAAATGCTTGAAATATTTCATACCTCATATTGACTTTTTGAAATTATAATTTTAAAAGTAAAGTTATAATAATTTCAATATATTCCCTTCCATTCTTACTCTCTCTTTGCTTTTGTATAATAGGGGTTTTGGGGTTTTGGGGGATCGGAAGAGCACACGTCTGAACT